TGGAATTCCTAATTCATACGACAATTAGAATATTTTATTGGCGTCGCGATGGAACCTGCAATGGAAAAGTTGGATATTCATTCAACTCCTGAAGCTATTGAGGATTATTTGGAAAGGTTCGAAATTTGGAGCATGACCAAAGACGATGACGAGGATGTTAATATTGTGGCACACTTCCTCACATTCATTGGGAGAGAAGCGTACAGCTTATTAAAAACTTTAGCATATCCAGAAAAACCTATCTCACTCCCTTGTGCAACTCTTAAAGTGCTATTATTGAGTCATGTAAAATGCACCAGTTTTGAATGCCGTGAAAGGGTGAAGTTTCATAAGATGGTTCGTCAAAATGACCAAAAGGCTAGGGAATTCATCCTTGAATTACAGAAACAAGCTGCCAAGTGTAATTTCGGTGATCAACTTCATGTGCAACTGAGAGATCGATTAATTGCAGGAATTAACATACCAAGTTTGGAAAGAGAGCTGTTAAAAATGCCAAACTGTTCCTTTCAAGATGCTAGAACTGCATGTATTAACTACGAAGCAGTCAATGAACTTGATATCCAGTCGATGAAGATTTCTGATACTTTGCTTAGTCGTCAAGATGAACTACAATCTCAGGGTCAATCAAATTTGCGTTCATTTAACAGTGATTCCTATTCTCATGTAAATATGAGAGGTGTTTCAACGAGGAATTACAAAACAAATCACAAAGGTGAGATGAAGTTTGGTAAATGTTTATCATATGGAAAGTTTCATGCTCGCAATTCATGTGTATTTCGTAATGCTAAATGTTTTAAATGTGGTAAGGTAGGACACATTCAGTCAGTATGCAAAGCTACCGTCCATTTTGCTTCGAGCTGTACTAAATCTTGTAATTTAAATTTAAATAATTCGGATGTTTCTAATCATCATTTATCTTTATCAACGATTTCAAAAGACAGTGCAGAGTCATATGACAGTTCAGAGTTAGATGAAATCCAGAATTCTTGTAAGACAACAGTTCCTAATCAACCGATTTATCAGAATTCTCATGCTATTGTACCAGGTATGACTTTTCCTAATGATTCACATATTTCTAATGAAATTACTCGCAATATTGAGGAAAATATGTTAAATGAACCTAATCATGATCGGAAACCTGATGTGGTTTGGATAGATGCTGGTTTTTCTAACGATCCTACGCTCTGCAATGACAGTCCTAATGAATTTCATGAGAATATTTCAGAAGAATCAAATCCTAATGTCGTATCATATATTACCTCTCCTCATTAAGCACTTGATCCTTGTGAAAAACCTGCTCAATGCGAAGCACGAGTACTAAGTGACTTCGAGTTTGATTACATTTCGGATGATTTCATATCAACTGCTGTTTACCCTTATCACAAAAACAGTTATAATGTTTACTCTAAACAATGTGAGAAATATGTTTTAAATGAAGCCACATTATTCACAACTTGGGGATATAAAGATCCAACATTATTTCGTGGGGGAGGATAGTGTTGAAAAATCTTTGGTTCAAATTCTAGATATTAATGATTTCAGTACAAAACCGATATGCTGATTGTATACAATTCCAGATACTACAAAGTTTTTATCTTATACAATGTCGGACAGACTCAGGATGAACTTAACAAGAAGACGTACAACCGATTACAAACACTTATACTTCTATTTAAGCTGTGGCGAATGTGGTGTTTAAATGGACTAATGATACCATTGTACTGGTTGAATGTTTGATTTCGAATTCTAGATACAGTACATTCGTTGTGCCTGTGTCTTCTTAATTCAATTGCTTTAATCCTGGAATTCCTAATTCATACGACAATTATAATACTATAGGCTTTTTTGTCTTGATGTTAACAGGCTTGGTAGTAGTGATCTTGCCCAACTACATAGGAGAAGCCTTATAGCCTTTCAGGAAGAAAGAAGAGCCATGTAAATAAAGTGTGACTGAAACATTGAAAAAGCTAGGTAGACGGATACGTTTCAGTTCATCCTGCAGTTTTAAAGTGATATGAAGGATTTCGATATCTATAGTGCAAACTGACATGTTATAGTCTACACTTTCCTGTCACCTTCGGAAACTAACGAACATCCTAAAAGCGCTTAGAAGTATGATTAATACGCCAGTACGGGATGTGGTATGACCGCAAGCGTGCACTACGTGTTTGTGTAGAATGCATATATCAGAGATACTTACATTCTACAGTGCACATACACATAAATTCGTGCGGTCACAGAGTTATGTCACATGCGTATGTGAGGTACACAGGCCATGATATATAAATTCCATAGAATACAAATGTGTACAAATGGGAACATTCCAGGTCGCAGCCAACATATATCCAGAGATCAAGCTTGTAGCTATTTCTCTATTATCACCTTTCAAGAGTAAAGCATCATATTAGTTAAAACAACTGCCTTCAAGCTGCTAAGCCTCGTGCTCGTACCCTGTTCTGCCTTCTTTGGTTTAGACAACATGACAGTAACGTTAGCCTCCAAGATTTGTTTGATTAAAAACCAAGTTTTAAAAAATATGAAGCTAGGTTCTACTGAAGCTCGGTTCTTCAGCCTCGTAGAGGATCTGGGATTACTCGAAAATGTGAAGTCGACAACTCGTTGGAGACACAATCAGACGCCGTCGCGATTAGACCGAATTATGACAAATGAAGCATTCCTAGTTGACAACCTCTCAATCCTGGCCGATCTATGGTGGGGTAATCACTTCGCCATAGCGTTCAGTCTTATCAGTAAAACTGAGCTAAGACGTCCCACCAAAAACAGGCGCTGGAATCGCAAACTGTTGAATGCGTTAGCTTTACAGTACAATCTACAACGTGTGGGTTGGGAAATTAACCGTCAACCTGATGTGGATGCTCATTGGGATTTCTTATTGCACACGCTCCTATGTGCTAAAAGACAGTATGTACCTCAAATGGTCCCCAAAGTCTATAAGAAACGTACAGTCACCAAGAACCGCACTCATCATTTGCTAAGCCGCAAAAGGCACTGTTGGGCAGAATACTCACGAACTGATAAAAACAACGGAGCGTACAGACAATACAAACATATAAAGAACATATGAACGAAGGCTATAAGAGAAGACAGGCTTTAGTACCAGATAAAGCTTATGGATAAATTTGTCTCGAATCCGAAAAGCTTATTTCGTTATGCAGCCTCACTTCGTCAAGCCAAAACTGGGGTTTCACAACTGCCAGGTCCTAGTGGAACGACCAATAACGACGGTGACACCAATAACCTTCAGGTTGAACAGTACTCTCGGACATTCCAACCGATACACACAAACTTTATTGATGAAAGCTTCATCTGCAATTTCACAGGACTTTCCGAAGTGGACCTAAGCGCTGACTTGGTGTTCCGGAAATTACAGCACTTAAGACTAGATACTTCTCCCGGCCCGGATATGGTTCATTCTGCCATACTGAGGGAAGCAGCCTCAATCCTGGCAACGCCACTTAGCGTGATGTTCTCACACTCGCTAAGCCGAGGCAAACTACCGGAAAATTGGAAGTTGGCTCACATCACACCAATTTTCAAGGGAGGTCGACGCAATGAACCTTCAAGTTATCGGCCGGTGGCTCTTCTGTCATTACCTCCAAAACTCATGGAGTCCCTGATATGCGACGGTTTAAACGACTATCTACTGTCCTTAAATTTCTTCTCACCCCAAAAGCATGGTTTCAGGAAGCATCATTCTTGTATAACCAACCTGATGACTGCGGTGGACAGATGGACAAGCATCCTCGATCGCAAGGGAAATGTTGGTATCATTTACCTTGATTTCTCAAAAGCTTTTGATAAGGTTAACCATACATGTCTTATCAATAAGCTCAAACGAGTAGGTATCAAACCACCTCTAAACGATTGGCTTACTTCATACCTAAAAAGTCGACACTTTAAGGTTAGGGTTAATTTCACTTCATCTCAGGCTATGAAATGTCCTGTTGGGGTCCCCCCCAGCGCTCAGTACTAGGACCTCTTCTTTTCATGATTTATATAAATGATCTTCCACGACAGGTATCATCAGACTTATTACTTTTTGCTGATGATGTGAAACTTTGGAGAGAGATACGCAAGCGTGAGGATATACAGACACTTCAGGAGGATCTGACTGGACTTAAAAGTTGGGCAGACGACAATGGACTTACCTCTAACACTTCAGAGTGTAAAGTAGTCCATCCGAGACATGCTACAGAATACAGTCACAACTTGGGAAACTCCTCTCTAGAAGTGTCCCGAGTTAAAAAAGATATAGGAGTTTTGGTGCCCTACGATTCGAAGTTTTATGCTAACTGTGACAAAAATGCTTTTCGAGTAAGCCTTGCATTGGTAACATTGGAGCGCATTTCTGGCCACTTTGACAGAAGAACATTCCACATAATCTTCACCAGTTTCATTCGTCCCCATTTAGAGTACGGAAACATAGTATTTCCTCCCTCACTCCAAAAGGATCAGAACACACTGGAACGTATCCAATGGCGAGCCACGAAATCAGTTCGGGCACTCAAGCTCAAGGCTTATGAAGAGCGCCTCCAATCACTTAGCTTTTACCCTTTGGAGTACAGGCGTCTTAGAGGTGATCTTCTGATGGCTTATAGCATCCTTAACATTTCTGGACATCCTCTTAAACACCTATTTAAGCTTAGTTCGAATAATAACCTAAGGGGTAACACCCAGAAACTGGAGACACAACATAGCAAAACGGGATGTAGACACAACTTCTACTCCTTAAGAGTTGTCAAAAGCTGGAATTCGCTGCCGGCCGAGCTAGTCCAAATGACTTCTCAGGAGTCCTTTAAAGGGAAACTTGATCTATTCTTAAGGACACTATGATTTACCAATTTCTTTTACTCTTTTACTGTTAACATACCTAGGTTCCTGCCTGGAGGATTTGGTGATCCCCTGCTACTAGACATGAAGCCTGTTAAGCGAAAGCTTCTCTTCCTTCCACAACCATTTGAACCATTTGAACATTTTAATATGTTACCAATTTCTTTTTTTTCTAATCTATTATAGTTAATATACCTAGGTTCCTGCCTGCAGGTATTGGTGATCCCCTGCTTGTACACACGGAAGCCTGTTAAGCGAAAGCTTTTTCAATTACATCCACTGCCATTTGAACCACTTGATACAAGAGCTAATAATGTATGGTTCCCATTCAAACCAAACGCTACTTGATAGACTTAGAATATTAACTGGCTGTGTAGGTGTTTGTTTCATGTCAACATTGATGTACTTAGTTCCAAGACAGTCTCGTATGTAATAGCTAAAATAGCCAGTTTGGGGTCTATTTTCTATTTTGATCAGTGTTTCGTTTTATCCTGTTCTTCAGTGTTATTAGAATTTTACTGAAATGTCTGAATCTAAACGTTTGCATTAATTTACAAGGAGAGGTTTTATTTTTTTTACCTGATTGGCTACCTGATCCTTTTTTTGCTATAAGCCAGATTTTCAAAAATCCTATCATGTAACCCCAACCGGTTTTAAGTTATGTCGCCTAACTACTGGGGACGATTATCACGTAGACCCCGACTAGAAAGTTTTATCTCCGTATGGCTCAAACCAACAATAAATCAATTCGTATGCTATTCGCCTCTGGCTTACCTTTAACGTACTGTATCAGCCAGAACAGAACATTTGGGAAGGCGGTAACTAAGGGTTCGGAACACCAATTTGAACCCCCTTAATCAATATAGATTTATGAAACCGTCATTCAACTTGCCATTTCTTCCTAAAACCTTACGTTTAACATCAACATCACACAATGAAGAATTTAATCAGTAGTGTCTTGGAAATATGATGAGATACCTGCGAGTCCTTTTTCTTTCTAGTGGTGGACAGTTGCACAAACCATTCCATGGGATACTATACCCTCTTTAAATCGAGGTCATTTGCATGTTAGTGAGCACGCACGTGTTCTAAAATTCGACCGTAAATATTCGATCGGTACTGCTATGTTCAGAGGTGATACCTGTCTGCTTTATTTCAGGTTATTTATTCCTGAGCTCCGGTGGTTTGGGCGGACATTAAAGCTAAAATCCTAAAAACCAATTCAGTGGAACGAACTTCTTTAGCGTTATTTATTTTCTTACAGAATGGGACAATCGAAACTAGTTGGGTGAAATCTCATCCAGCTCCCGGAGTCTTATTAACAACCATGTTTAACTGACCATAACCTTTAGAAATCTCTACGGTTAACTTGTCGGGGTCCTTAGTTCTAGGCTGTCTCAAGTTGATTATAGCTGTTGGGTGCTGCTTATGAAACATGTACAGACCATCGGAGCCAGTGTTTCGAAATAATGGCACCAATTAAGCAACCAGAATTTACGGAAATATGTTCCCAAAATTGGTTTTTAACCCAACAACACTTATTTGAAAAGTAATAGTGTTAAGTGAATTCATTACCTAAGAACTGAGCAGTATTCAAACCCTATGATTCTTGTCCTAATTTGTTATATTTTAAGCCACTCTTTTGGATGTTCATGTAGGCTGCTTCAAGATTTATATAAGAATCAAATGTTTATCCTGTGTTGATTGATGTGGAACTTGAAACGGTCACGACAAATTACGTAGTATCGTTGTTTTTATGTTTTCAGAAACTGAATAGCTATAATTATTCAACACGAACCTGTTCATACAACTGTTATTCATATGACCTATGCTAACTAGTCATCAACCGTTAAGTGACCTGGTACGATTACAAGTAGATAAATCTTGAAAATAAATACCGCATTCCTAACATTTCTTTATCATCACGAATTATTAAACAGTAACTTCATCTAGGAAACAGTTGTAACCCTACAAAAGGTTACTGCATAGCTCTTGTTCTAAGTCTCATATTATTGGTATCGTGTCATTGTTCGACTAGTAGTGTTATTATTGTATTATTATTTCTTTCTTGCAGTTATGGTAAATCTTTGGTGAAAGGGAAACAATATCACGACTGATGATTTGATTCTCACAACCACCTTTTTTATCGTTTGTATTTATGCAATATTACAATAAACACCATCACTACGTCTGCTGTTTTCAACTTGTGCTCACAATAGCAGTTATCATTTAAACTTTATAATCTATAATTCAACTCATCATTTTTGTGAATTCCACCAATTTGTAAAATGGACTGTCCAATTGAAGATATCGATAAGAAAGATGTAAGTTTTTCAATTCCATATCATTAATAAAAATAATAGCCAGTTGTAGAACAAAATACTGACGTAAATTTCGTTTATAATGATACTGATGAATACAGTGTAGAAATTGCTGGTATATTATTTTTTTAAAATTGTCTATTACTAAATTCTTTTCTTGTAGAATTGTATAGTTATTCTGAAGAGCCTGAATTTCATTTAAATCGTGAATGTTTTGAAAAAGATTTTCATAAATTTGGTAGGTGTTACTCTCCTTTTTGTTTTTATTTGCTTGTATAAAATATTCCCTCAGTGTGCAATTGTATCAGGAAACAAATAATTTCATTTTCTTTCAACTGTCCTTCACGATTGTCAGCTACTTTAAGTTCACGTTCACTAATTTTCACTGTCTTTTAAATACTCTTCTCCAGTTTTCAGTCACTTCATGATGTGATGTCTTCTTCGGTGTTATTTTACTATAGCTAACTTCTTATGTTAACATGATATATTTTAACCATACTGTTCGATACAAACATAAACTCAAGTTGTTTACATTACCCGGATCTGTACATTCAACTTCAGAACTATTTATTATGAGCCACACTATGCACAACTACTGTTACATCATGTGTCTCCAGCGTTAATATTCCATATCCAGTTTGGCTAGTTGAGACCTGACATCCGAACTCTGTATCTTAGGGTAAATTTTGTTTACCTCTGTATTAACCATATATAGCTTACTTGTCTGGTTATCGGTACCAGATTTCCTAAAGTGGTGATTTATTTCCATTTATTATGACACTTGTAAAGTTAAGCGCATCAGTTATTTTCATTAATTATAAATGTTCTGCTTAAATTTCAGTTTCTGTCAAATGGTTTGAGGCTAGCAATGCTGAACGTCATTCACATATTCAACGATTATTAGATCATTTAGAGTCTAGTGATTGTGAAATACGTCAAAGAGCTACACGATCACTGTTGTACTTGTTACAAGGAAATTTTGGTGATTGTGAATTAGAGGAAGATCAAATAACATGGGCTAGACATAATGTTTATTTATGCATTGAATCAGGTTTATTACAAGCTATTATAGAACTTTTATTGTTCGAAACTCACTATGAGTAAGTTGAATAAATAACTGCTATTGTTCTATAATTGTAAATTCGATTTTAAGGCTCTATTTCAATTTTGTGCAAACCTCATTCTGTCTTTTTACAGTGCTATTATTATTATTATTATTATTATTATTATTATTATTGTTATTAACATTATTACTGTAGATAGATACAAATTTATAGTCTGCTCGTTATAATTTTGATTTTATAAATTGTGTTTATTACTGAAGTGATAGTACGGTGGTTGAATCGTTTAACTTGAAATATTAAATCATAGGCTAGAACACTTCTCCATCTATTTCCATCTTAGAAACCGGGTAGTTTCACGGATGCTTACGCGTAAAATATGCCCCAAATACAACCTTCACTCTCATACACTATCATTTATTTATTTATTTATTTCAACATATGAATATTGGTACAAAGGGGCACCGATTACATATGCGCCAAACAAGTCACTTGATTTGTGTGTGGGCTGTAATACTACCCGGGTGCCCAGACCAAAACAGGTGGTTTTATTAGGGGGCCACATTCGGAGCCTTCGACCTAATGGTCTGACCCACAAGGCAGTGGAGCAACGTAAAGAGATGCAGTCCTGTGGTGGCCGGTGACCAACAATGGGCTCGTACGCCATTCGTTCCTTCAGGATACTGGAGCCCATGTGTACCATTGGTTCGGGATGAGGATTTTCCAACTCCCCAGGTGGACTCTCAATGTCCACCGAAGTAGTAGAATTAAGATGAATATACTGTGTAATTTCTAAAATAAGACTTTTCTAACGACAGTTCACGTATTTATTAGACAGACTATATCTATGAGTATGATTAAGCTGTAAATATTAAACCATTGATGAAAAATGGGTTGGTTTATATCAACAAAATCGAAAAAGTGATGTATGTTTTGATGGAGTTCCAATCTCTGCACTAGATCGTTTAATTCTAGCTCTACTTATAAATTTGTTTTGATAATATTGTCCAGAAGGATGATTAAAGCTAAAAGGTTAAACAGTCTGGTTAAAAAAACTATACTTCACCAAAATCATTCACATGAGTTACAAATTTTTTCACCATCTCAGTAAAAGTATATTTGTCACTTAAAGTCCAAAATGGCAGGAATAATTCAGATGTAACCATGGTGTTTGTATTAAATTTTCACAAGTAATATTTAGTTAGTGAATATTTCGAATTTTTATTCAACTCTTCTGTTCTTTTACAGTTCATGGGGTGTAAATTCAGTTGGAAATGATCCAGCAACTAACGCTACTTGTAATGGATCAACTAAACCCAGTCAATCTACAGCAGCAACAACTATAATTGATACAAATCAAAATTCAACAGTTACATCAACTCGACAATCAAATGTTACAATGAAAGATAGTGCAAATCTCCGTGTTTTATTGTCTATTCTATATATTATGGTTGAAACTGTTCGTGATGGAATGTTAACAGATCATGCACAACAAACTGTTTCAGCAGATGATAAACATATGTCAATAACAACAAATCAAGCCAGTAACGATCCAATGGCAAAACTGAGAGAACAGTTTGTGGAAGATTTAGGTATATATGTATAAACGTATATATCTGTATATTAGGTTATTAATCATATGAAGAGTGATTAATTACTTCATTTTCCCCTCATAGTTGCTTATAATGCTGTTTAACTGTTAGTCGAGATCAATTTATGAACGAACAGCATTACGTATGAAATTAAGCCCCCAAATGCCCTGGTACGGCCGAGAGTGGGGAGAGTTAACTCTCCCTCTCGAAATGCTCTCACATGGCCACGTGCATACAACCACTACTAGAGAAGTCCTACTCAGTCTTCTCGCAGCTGGGGTGTTGTTTATGAAATTCAGAGGACGAAATGTGGATGTCCGGCGCTTTAACCGGGTTGATAGACACGTAGAGTTCACCCAGGGGAGTTGGAAAACTCTCATTCCAACCAATGGTACACATGGGCTCCAATATCCTGAAGGAACGAATGGCGTATGAACCAATTATTTGTCACCGGCTACCATGGGACTGCATCTCTTTACGTTGCTCCACTGCCTTGTGGGTCAGACCATTAGGTCGAAGGCTCCGAATGTGGCCCCCTAATAAAACCACCTGTTTTGGTCTGGGCACCGGGGTAGTATTACAGCCCACACACAAATCAAGTGACTTGTTTGGCGCATATGTGTTTGGTGCCTTCTTGTAACAATGTCTATATATTTAAATAAATAAATAAATAATAAATAAGAGTTGTAAACGTTGCGTAGTATCACTGAAAAATAGTTATATCGTGCAGAGGAATTCACTTTTCATTTTCCCCTCATATCCTAAGCGTCTACATTACGTATTGTGCTAATTCATTCATTCTTTTCCAGTCATTTTTCCTATACATAATCTCTTTCACTATTAACGATACTGTCATTAATTTAGCTTCTTTGATATTTATCTTGTTTGTCGTGTCTTACAGTGTTGACGTTGTGTTGTGACAAATAGAGCTGATGCATATTTACGCTTGGTGTTGCATTAATGATGTTCAAATTGTATGTCATGTAGATATGAAAGTTCTTCATCTATAAAGTGTAGCGCATATATATCTGGTGCCCCCTTGTACCAATATTTATTTATGTTCATCTATAAAAATGTCTCTTGCGAGAATGAAATCGTTCATTCACTAAATAACCTCCATTTTACTGTTATAAATTCTCGAATAAGTTCTGGGTTCACATGTCTGTGTTAATATAAACAGTACTGGAATAGAAGTATTTACATCCAGTTGATGAGACTCGAATTTGACAAAATGTTCATTCTAGCTTCCACTGTCAGCCACAATTCAACTTTATTAAAAACTTGTGACTAAATGGCACTATTGTGGCAGTAATCGGGTTATGGTCTACGCATACTAGCAACAGTAACTAATCAATTAGAAGTCTTTAATATCGACAATTGGGAAATGGAAAGTTTGACAAATAATTCCATTTTTCTTAAACATTTCTACGTATTTATACGAATATTCGTCAAGATTAGAACTAATAGTTTGACAGAAATTGATTCCAATATATAATTTTCACATATAATGATTTCTACGTATTATTACGTTGTTTTATGAATCACGCCAATGTTTATCGCCCTCTTTTTCTTTCTGTCTCTTTCGCATTCAATTCATAATATATTTTGTAATAGCCATGCCTATTGAAAAAGACGGTGATCTCACATTGACTGCTGTACTATTTGGCATGATTCATCGTTTTTGCAGTGGTATTGATCCACATTTTCCAATGAAAAAAGTTCTCTTGTTACTTTGGAAAGTTTTACTAGTAAGTTAAAGCAATAATAATACTATTATCATTATTACTGACGGTAAACAAACACTGCGTAGTATATTTTGACAAATACACATCTTCAAACCATTTTATTATGACCTAAGACGTCATAATTCCACGATTAGTCCACCCATATTTCCAACAGGGCGGTGACTATCTGAGTGCTAATTGACACACTGATCAATAAATAACACCGTGGACCTAAACGCTCATCAGTCCTCGAACTCTTTTTAATCTAATAGATAGCCAATCAGAAGACAAAAATAAGAAATACATTAGTTTTCTTTTCAACTCACTTCATTTATAATTCAAAACTCATATACTAACATACCTGAAATGCCTGACCACACAGCAAACCAAGTTAGAAATCGTACTTTAAACACAGTCAAGTCACAAGCTGAAGAGAAACAAAGCACATAGTATATGATTAACTAACAGTATAACGACAGCTAATAGGTCTACTGATAGCTTACAATAGGAGAAATATAAGAATGCAGCAATACAGTTATCTACTACTAATACAATACAAATGCAAGTAGTAGTAATGGTCCGAAAAATAATTCCAAAAGTTCCAACATTTCCAATATTCACCCCGTTAAAATACATTTAACTTACGAGTATTCAAAAACTACATAATTGTTTTTCATTATCTGCTAGCTAACATTCATCTTGATCTATAGACGTTTTGCATTCTGTTTTTTTTCTACATGTTTCATCATCATATATTATACACTGCGCATGAATAATACTAATTGTAATCACCTATCGTTTCGCGTGAAGCCAGTCAGCAACAACGTAGAATTTCGTACGTACGTACGTACATCAGTTCGAGTTGCCATACCACATTAGCACAGAGATACAATTGTCGATTCAAATCCCATAGTGGTAGAGGTAGTAAAAGTATAAACCTAAATCAGAAAGATCAAGGTTTGAAGATGTTATTCAAGGAGTATAATCCAGTGAAATAAATTTGGGAAGACAAAAAAAGAGACAAGGAGGAATCAGGAGATTAGAATTTTGGAGAACACAAAGAGTGGATGCACCTGTGCCATTTCAAACGACTTTGAGCCATATCATTCAAGGTCTCTAACCATCGGTTGCCATCGTCTTGCGGATCCAATTGAGGTAGTCTCCACCTACTAACACGGCTCAGTCCACTTGTCCAGTGACTTCATGGATTTGTGCCATGTTTTGGTCTGGCTGCCCCTAGTTTTCTTCCAACCTACTCCTACACGATAAAACATCGCTTGTCGGGGCAGTCGGTGGTTGGGCATACGTAACTTATATCCTAGCCATCTCAGCTGATGAAGTTTCACCACTTTACCAATTGATTTGCCATCCTTACCTAGTACCTGTTTCCTAACAACTGCGTTACTTACTCGGTGGTCCCAGGATATACGAGCAATGCTTCGAAGACACCTATGATTAAATACTAGTAACCTACGAATATCCACTACTCTTACCGGCCATTTTTCACTGCCATGAAGTAGGACGGAACGATCTGCTGCGCAGTAAACACGTCCTTTGGTTGATAGACGGATATCTTGCCTACGCCATAAATGACGCAACTTGGCAAAAGCTAGTCGGGTCTTTTGTATCCGTGCTGAGATTTCGTCGCACACCAGACCACAAGGGTTGGTGAGACTCCCAAGATAAGTGAAGCGGTCGACACGCTCAACTACTTCACTCCTTATTATTAGTTTGAGTGTCGAGGCAACCCAATCCTGAAGCAACATTTTACATTTCGAGAGGTAGAATTGCATCCCGAACATGCTTGCATAGTTAATGTCTGACAGTGAGCAAATATACCAACCACCATAGCGCTGATGGTTCCAATTAAATTGTATGATACGAGCACTTAAATGCCGCCAACATACATAATTAGTCCGTGGAAATAGATTTAGAAGTGAGGAAATTGTATTTTAATGCTGACAAATTTGGGTAATAGTGGTAATAGAATTAGTCCGAAGTGAGAGAAATTTCAATAGGTCGCCGTCATTCAGTAAATTTTCCTTAATAAGGTCCTGGGTTCGAATCCCGTATGTGGGACCGTGGATGCATACTGCTGAGGAGTCCTATACTAGGACAAAACGGCTGTCCAGTACTTCCAGGTTTTCAACGGTAATCTAACACTGATCGATTCGTGATCTCAATACATATATTAGTTAATGGATATAGCGGAAATCTGTGCACACTTACGTGGTCGGCTAAATTCTTATAATTATTTTTGAACTCACAATTTAGATTTAAAAGTCTTGTGTGTTCTTTTTAAAAGTATAAGACAATTTAAATATTTATACTCAACTTTCTACATGTAGATAACACTGGGTCCTTTGAGCAGCTTATTGGTACGTAAAAATCAAGCACGTGCTCGTTATGGTTTACCACCAGTTTCGGAGGATTCTACACATGTAATTCAAAAAGTTCGTGCAAGTAGCCCACCTGTAATGTGTATTACAGATCAAGTACTTTCTAGAATGCAGCGTAATAACACTAATAATATTAATAATAACAATCGACATCCCATCATAAGTCAATGTGTGTATCTTTTCAACATTCAGTTTGCTATTTTGCATAGGTTTTTTTAAATACAATATTAGTATGAAGAGATTTGTAGAGATTGTAGTATTTTCACAGTTGGAATCATGGGCTGAACTTAGCAGGACCACCACTGTAAACCTGAGAGCACCCAATGGCCGTTTCGTCCTAGTATGGGACGCCTCAGCCGTGCTCATTCAATCATGTGCTTACTAGCGAATAACTTCGAGAGGTAGTTCTAGTCAGAAGCCTTGGTCTGTGAACTTTGGTCCGCATTGGGTTTGAGACAATTATCCACGACAGACAATGGATGGACTGGATCGATTGAAGTTAGACACTAACATCGTTGAGTGCCTGCTCAGTGCTCCAAAGGTTAAGCGTCCATGCGCGAGGCCGACAGCCCTGAGTTCGAGTCCCACATGCGGAGCCGTAGATGTGCACTCTTGACGAGTCTCGTTTAATGAGGAAACCGGCATTCAGGGCTTCCAGGTTTTCGATCGTGGTTCTGTTAAGATCATTTCGTGATTTCAATATATGTTTTTTATAATAATATGTTTAGTTACAGTGAATAATTTTCATTAAATAATTATGCAATAAGTTAAAAAATAATGAAGTAATAACATCTTTGTAATATTGTGAAGAGCCATCAAGAGTCCCTCGTTACAGTCTATAAAAAACCAGGAAAAGGCTGAAAGCCATTTTCACTCAATATATAATCGACTCCATGACGTATGAACTTAAGACAACCTAATGTTTTAAATAGCATCATTGCCGGAATACGATAAAGATCCTGTTATGAAAACTCTTAACTATACAGATGATATTATTCCTCCTAGTCCAAATTACTATAACTCTTTAAACTAATCATGATTTTAAAGAGAGCAAGAACAAAGATTGGTGCAGAATAATATGAATTCATTTTATTTCGTTAGGTTCTCATCAGCTGCTTACAACCTAAAATATTTGAAATTCAACGTTATTATAGATATTGACATACTTATACAACAGAGGGCGATGAAGGATGAATATATGTAACATAATGTGGTAAAGATTTCGTTAGAGTTAATGAGGTCATAAAATTTTTTGTTTCGAATATATAGAGTTTGGGAGGGAAGGTTCTAGAACATTGAAATAGTGATCAGAAATCATGGAATTAAAAACACATTAGATTATTATGCAGTGAAATAACTGAAAATAGATTAATGATGTGATTATAAAATTCAGAAAGAGTTGGAATGACATAATAAATAAAAGGGGGAGGGGTAATGTTACCATGGCAAAGAAAGATTTATTACTGTTTCTTTTTGTATACAAAGATTTGGTGTGAATGAAGATATTACTTGGTATTCGCATCTGAGGACGAAGTTGTCCTGAGGTTATTACGTGAGTAAAGTATTTACATAAGACGACCAGCATCTCAATCAACGCTGCTTTTCCACAATGGAAGGAGGAGTAGGGAAAGTTGATACTAAAATTAGCACACCTTACCTTACCACACGAATTTCCACTGCAGTCAATAAAGCCTAAGATATATGACGTTAATATGTCCAAAACTACTCATATAAAAGCTATGTGTAATTGGCCTGAAGTAATTATCCTTTGTGGTCACTCTTCCAGGTTAGGAAGATCACTTATAACTTAGTTTTTCCTCATATCCCTCAAGAATGAATATGTCGTTGTGTGAGCCACCAGAAAGTTAAAACCGTCTCAGTACCTTTAACAACACTCAAACTGATTGAATTGGTTTAGGATAAATTAAAAATACGTTCATAAAATCTCCATTTCATAAAAAATGTCACTTGAATGCATAACATGCTTGACATACACACTTAGAATGTGATGTATGCTACTTATGTCAACAGATACAAGTAGTATATGATACCAATCCGTAGTGGAAACCCTGTCAGCAGAAGGCTAAGAAGATCAAGTTGAAGAGAAAACAGAAACGGAGATGGGAAGGAATTGTGAACTGGAAGAATCATACAGAATGTGAAGGACAAATGATGGAGTTTTACGAATGAAGTATTCAATGTATGGTTCTCATATTTTACCAAGATATTCTGTAATTTTGTACAAAAATATAACCTTGTCGTCCAGATTTTGGCCAATTGGATATAGATTTGACCTAGTCTTTCACTTTTTTCATAATAAAAAAACCCTCACAGATTCACTAGGTATATTACGTAATGTGGTTTAAGACAAGACAAAAGGCTCTCAATCAGCTACTTAAATACCACAAAGCCTGAAGACTCTGGGTTCGACCCCGTGGAAGTTCATGAGTGCACACTTGACGAAAAGTCGTTCCAAAATATGTAGCTTCTTTTCCTTTCATCTCCGTGATTGGAAAAGCTCTTCCTATTTAGTTGGCAATTTAGTATCTTTAAATTGTGTAATTTTAAATAGGTGCATGTCTTTGTTAATTTTCTTATCACTCTAGCAAATCAATCTCCTCGACAAGGTAGTTTAGCTGGAGGTCGTTTGGCGTTTGAACAACAGCAACAACAACAGTCTGTTGTCACTTCAGTGACTTTTCCATTCTCAGCTGATTCTTCTAAACTTCCTATCATTCAGAGTCAATCACAATCAACTGAGGCGTTTTCAACAACTTCAGGTTTTGATACACCTCGACCAAGTTCACCTGTGTCATCAGATGCTACTAATCGTGATGATGGTAAGATAATGATAATTTTCAAACATTATGGTTTTTATGTTATATTCATCACAAATCAATCTATGTTGGTTGTAACATTGAAAACCAGGAACAGGGGCACTAAACATTTGCTTCGTCCTATAAAGGGACGTCGGTGGTGCAGTGGTAGAAATAGTGTGTGCTCACTATCCCATCAGTGATTGGACCCAGGATCTTGAGTCTTTCCAAAAATTACTCAGTCACTAAGACCATTTGGTCGTAATCCAATGGTACAATTCCAAATTCAGTCATTTTGGGATATAGAGTGACTATCATCCTATGCCAATTTCTATAAATTGTTTTACTCCTGATATATTTGAACTCCTCCACCAGTCGTGACTTCTTATTAAAATTCCTGGAGCTGCTTGTTGAAGTAATATACTAATGAGAGATTGATTTAATTTGTAGATTATATTTGTTGCACATTGATTGCAGTTGAAATTTTCAATCAAATTTCAATTTTAGGAACAACTAATCGTGATACAAGTGAATTGTTAACCTCATCTAATTTAAATCAACCAAATTTCAATCATCATCAAGTTATCCTACCAGGATTATCGAATTTATATATGGATGAGAAGAGTTTACCATGGAAACCGAAAGTAAAAAAGAAGGATTTAGAGGTAATTTTTTGTTTTTCCTTCACCTGAGACTGAAGTTATTTATTTATCTATTTATTTGAATACACAGATTGGTACAAGGGGGCACCAAATACATATGCGCCACACAATAACAATGACGCTACTAGTAGCTATCATTGATTCGTGTGAGGGAGACTGAAATAGGTGTGGAGCAAGGTTAAACTCTGAAAATCTTGTAATTTTTAATTTTGTTACCCTTATAATATAAAGGTGTTTCACATCTAAATATACGTTTCTATCTTGGTATAGTTATTCATTACAAATAAATATTATCAATGAACTATTTACTTTAGCCTGAAAAGTGTTAACATAACTAATTCATAGGGTGAAGAGATTTGTACTTATTCTAGTTAGTCCTAGTCACTGTAGAGCGTGGGATAAATATGTGTTGATTTATGTTGCCCTACCAGACTTGCGCGACCAGATGAACAGGAAAGAATTCAAAATATTGTAACAGTAATGATAATCAAAATAGGATTTTAAAAATTAGTATGAAAAACTGTGCATAATGTTATACTAAAACTCGGGATCTAGATTAAGATAAAGAATGAATGTATCTGCTCCATTATGACGATGCTGTACTATGTTACACGATGCCTCCAGCCATTGGTTACAATTATCGTATGGGTCTCAATCAGGTAGTGGGAAACTACCAACGCAGTCCAGATCACACGATCAATGCCTCCAAGTTTTGACTTAGTTGCCCCTAGTGTTCTTCCAACTTAGTCCTACACCAGCTAACAGAACTGGTGGAAGTAGATGGTGGTTTGGCATTTGTAATACATTTCACAGTTACCTTAACTGATGTGGATTTACGACCTTATCGACTGATCTGGCATCTTTTTTTTCGTACACCATACCTAAACTCGTTATTGCTCATTTGATTGTTCCACGATACGCGAACAATTCTTTGAAAACAACTATGATTACTGTACTTATTTGTTCATACTAAACCGAGTCGAGTAGGGTTTTGAACTTTCAGTTTTCTAGAGGAAGACCATGTTCCTTAACCACCTAGTTACCACCACTGTAAATCTGACATGTGAAATACAGAGAAAGCCATATTAGCTTAATGTAAAGAATCGAAAGTACTCGGTGAGTTGTACACTGTTTTACATAAATTTGAAATGAAATGAAATTGATATTTATAAGCATTTATCGTTGAATTAATGTGTTTGAGAGTTTTCTTTTTTTTCCTTCAACAAACTTGCGTCTATTTAATTTAAACTAGTCTTTAAATTTTCATATTGTGAAGAAAATTTCATTTGTATATTCTGTAGTGCTTACCAACAACCCTACTGGAGGTTGAACTCAGAATATTTGTATCTTCTGACAAGACTTTGACTTTTGGACGTCTGGGTCCAATACATAGCTGGGTTTTAGGTGCTGTTGTGTTCTATAGCTCGTCAATTATCACGTGACAAGATCGGCAATCAGAACACCAACTTATATGACTTTGGCACTATGTCAAACAATTAACGCGTTAATCAGCACGAACAGCCTAGAGTCAACTCGGAGTCCTTATTAGTTCTTCTTGCCTTGTGCTGTCCGTTTGAGTTCAGAACACAATCTGAGCTTTCACTTTCTGAATCATGTATTTCAGACATATTTGGTGCATGTACAAGCAGATCAGACTGTATCACATCATAACATAGAAAATTAAAATTATACAGGATCAAGACAAAAGTAGCTGTGAGTATGGGAGACTTTAACTAATGGATTGAGAATAACTTAGGAATAGGCTTAGTGCTTTAGAGGTTGTGCATTTGTACACGAGACTGAATGTTCTGGGTTCGAATCTCCCCTGCCAACAAGCCACTGTTGCCCCCAAATGCCCTGGTACCGCCAAGAGTAGGGACAGTAAGCTCTCCCTCCCGAAGTGCTCTCACATGGCCACTGTCGGGGAAGTCCTACTCACTGCATTCTCGCCGTAAAGGTGCTGTTTACGAAATTGAAAGGACGCACAGCGAATGTCCGACGCTCGAAACTTGATCCTGGATATAGAGGATCCATCCAACGACGTTGGAAAACCCTGGTTCCAAACCAATGGTACACATTGTTGTAACGTGAAATGCTGCTGATTGGAAGTTAGAGAATTATCGATCGGGGTAGGGAAAAATCTTTGAGCCCTCAATCTTCAAGGTCAGTCTATAATTGGACGAAATTCAGTCTAATTATTTCGACCAATCAGTATTCAGACTGTCATCAGTGTCCTTGAACGACATTGGTCATTGTTCATACAGCTAATTTTCATTGCTGGTGCTGATCAGAAAAAAATGACTCCCCCATCCGATCAATTGCAGTTGCTACTTGACCGACAACAGCAGCGCTTCAAAAATAACCAGTTGAGTATTTTGGACAATTTACGCACACGGCTGCTAAATCTCCCATGTTTCGGAGATGTGACAGAAGTTGATGAATTAATTTCTCATTTGCATACCGAGCTGGAAAACGACTGCAGAACATATATATATCATAGGCCTATATGAATCCTGGACGAGCAGTAATGTAAGCAAAGCAGTCATTCATGATGCGCCCAGCGATCCAGAAATGTCCATCTCAGAGACATGCCCTGTCATGGGTTCAAATCCCATCCCCGTCGCCAATTATTGTGACGTGAAATGCTGCCGATTAGAGGTTAGCGAATTATCGATCGGACCAAAGACGCGCAAACACGTAAGAACGGCCTAGAGTCATGATTGGCCCTGCTTCCCTGTCTAGCCCAGCCAGTTGAGTCCAGAACGCAAGTCTCATCCTCTGAGATATGAATCATTATATTTCAGGCATACTCTGTTTATATACCAATCAACCCGACCACAACGTACCAATAAAATAGAAAATAACATTTGTACAATAATTAGCCAGAAGTGGCTGTGAATGAGGGAGGTAGCGATTAACTGATAGGGAATAATTCATGAATGGTAAATCGTACAATAATAGTTCATAGGTCAACATAAAGCTCATAATAAGAGGGGCATGAATATGAACAGTTTAGTTACGAAACAATTATACGACAAAAATATACTCATAATATTGGTTCATAAATTGGTCCCAAAGATTAGTATTCATTATTCCTGTCGGGATACAACACAAGTAAGCTCCAGAATCCTGAGTGAGAAAATGGCATATGAACGTATTGTTAGTCACCGAATACCATGGGACTGCATCTCCTAACGTTGCTCCATTGACTTGTGAGTTGGAGCTCTAGGTCAAATCTCGTGGAGTTGGCTCCCTAAAAAAACCACCTACTTCGGTTTCGGCACCCGGACAGTACCACAGCCCTCACACAAATCAATGATAACTACTAGTGGCGCCATCGTTATTGTGTTACGCAAATGTATTTGGTGCCTCATTGTACCAATGTTTATCTGTTCAAATAAACTTCAGAAAAGTAAATTGTATAGTAGTAGTCAATGTGAATATACACATAATATAGTTACTTAACAGTTATACAATAGAAATATGTGCATAATTAACAGTCCATAAATAATTCCTAGCAGTTACTATTCATTAATTCTTCGCCAGGATATAACAAGCGCGTACTGCTAAGGACTCTAATAATAAGACGAAACTGCTATCTAATACTCGTTGGTTCTGTGATACCATAATTTTTGAAGAATACCACCTACAAACTATCAATTAATTAATCATTATAGAAATTCTTACCGGTTTTTTGTTGTTGTTAATTTACCTTAGGCATTTCTAACGAGTGTTCGCTTGAAATTTATTGGTTTTCATGTTCCTAATGATATAATCTCTTTGGCTGGTCTTCCTGAACCAATTCATGAAGCTGTACGTGTAATGCGTGAACATCTTTATATTTCATTAGGTGAAATGCAAATTGAACGAGAAAATGAAATTGCTCAAAATCCTCTATCTATGGTGAGTTATTATTATTATTATTCCCAAAAATGCAGTATTCGACAATGCCTGGAAATACAACTGGCAAATGAGATGAATTAATTATTAAAGTATTTGGTTCTCAAACAATATGTTCTAAGTTTAAACACTCAGATTTCGATTTAACCATCTCTTGCACAACTAAAATAGAGCTCAGGGTTAAGTGCATGGATCTGTACTTGGGAAGTGAGTTGTAGTTGTTATGTCTTATGGCCCGTCAAATATCACGTGACAAAATTACCAACTAATATGACATTGTCCCAATACTAAACCATTACGAGCAACCTTGAGTCCACCTAGTCCTTATTGGTCCTCTGTATTGAAGTTCTCGCCTAACCCAGCCCGGTTCAGTCCAAAACGTAAATGTCCCTCTATACTGTATTGGTAGCATTTCAGACGTACTTGGTTTATATACAAACAGACCAGACCACATCACACTATAAAATGAAAAATAATAATTATACAAGATGAAACCAAAAGTGGTTATGTGTGCGAAAGATTGTAACTAATTGGTTAGGAATAACCTAAAAGTAGTAAATGTTATAATAGAAGTCAATAGGTCTATAGATAGTCCCCGAAAGTTACCCGTAATTTGATCTTCTTCGGACGCAACAATAGTCGTACTGGGACTTGGGGCTGCTGAGCTGGCATCGAATGTAGATGGCTCATCAGATCATTGGAGTGCAAGCGTCTAATGTCCCGGGTGCTGGGTTCATGTTTAATTGAGTTATAGTAAATGAACTCGATTTCATATATCATGGATTGAATGTGCATAATTTTTATCTTCATCCGATATTTCATACATTTCTATCTTCTTTAATGAAGGAATTTTGTTATTTTTCTCAAGGTAGGAGAGTCTATACCAGATACACCAGTTGAACGACTCTATCGTTCTATGTATCCTTTACTGCCACAATACATGGTAAGTTATCAATTTGTTTTTAAGTTCAACTATGTGCTAAATAACTCTGTAAATGTCTGTAAATGCTCATTGTTTAAATATTCATTATTGAAACTGGTCAGTATGTGTTTGGTCAATATAAGTTCTAAGCGGATTGATTTGAGATTACAGTCTCCCAATTACAAGTTTTATTATATTGTGTCTGTGGTTAGTGTGAGGCATGCGTGTTTCTTTCCATTTTGGATTCATCTAGATGTATGATTGTATCCTAGTATTGCTGATTTCTATTTTGGGGCTTGAATAAAATTGCCTATCCCTTCAAGTTCATCGGATTCATCGTGAACATTAGCTACACTAAATTGCAGATTCATCAAACTAATGAGTACCGAATGTGATGTAACCCGTACTGTAGGCCACGGTTCAAACGTAATAGTTCTGTAATCTATCAAGATTGTATCATTTTATTATTTTAGTTTTAATCACCAACTGGTATTAGCTAAATCATCATCAAGACCAGAGAATACTGACTGACCGTCCCATCCTAATATGTGACTCCTCATTACAGTATTTCCAGGTTTTCAGCTAATATATCAGTTAGTAATATAAGCTTCGAGAATTGTACGATATCTACAAACCCCCCCTGTACTAATAATCGCTTTACTATCGTTAAATTGAGTTGTTAAATCGTGCCAAAAATATGAGGCATTTATTCACATACAGAACATAAACAATTGTCACTCTACAAATTACAAATAGAATGGAATTGAAAATTGTGAATTTTTCAATTCTGATTCAATAGCGGTCGTAAGGTAACGAGTATGTATGTGAACAGTATTGACTTATTGGTTAATAAGGTTCGACTTTTAGTCACTAAGTCACAGGGTTGAACCCCGCTTTATCAATGTCGGTTTGAGGAACCGGTTAGTATCAATAGCCCTTGAAGCCTAGTGTAGTAATCTGTACACCTGGTAAATAAGTTAAGAACAAGGATTTAGTGGGACATAAAAACCTTAATTTCTATTTTGTATGAGGTCATAGGCACGTTGTGGTGAAAAGTCAGTTTTTCAGATCTTGTATCAGCTGATATGCTTGAATCTGTTGTTCCGTACTCTTTCACTCAATTTCATCATCAAGTAAGTACTTTCGCTCATATTACTTGACTAACTCTTCAAGTCACAACTGTCTACTAGCATTTCTTTAAAAATTACTGTAAATCAGGTTAATACAGTTGATTAGTTCTGCTTTGAGACATACCTATCGTGCATTTCCATAACCATACACAGATACGTTTTAATAAAAAGTATGAATTAACTATATAGTTGGGAAATTCATCAGATGTATTTTGTCACTTTAACGTGTTATATTAAGTAAAGTCGCGCTACGGTGTAAATTTTGACCTGATGTTCTTCGGTTTTTCATCCTTGAATTACAGATTGCTTTACTGAAGGTTCTGTTAGCTGCTAGTCCTACTTCACGTACAAAAACAGAATCTATCAATATTTTAGCTGAAATGACACCTGAAACAATGCCGTAAGTTTGTCAACAGTAAAATTAGTTAGTTTATTTTGTATTGTTTTGAATTATCCCGTTCTTCATATTTTTTGACTGCATTTTGATCAGCCTTAATATTGGGTACTGCGTTCGAATCCCTGAGTAAACATCAACTCTGGGATGTAAACGTATTCAACTGACGAGTTAAAAATATCTTAACGAGAATATATGTATAATGATCAGATTGTGCTAATACTATCCAACTTTTCAGATCAGCTCCATTTTCTCATTATACTATTGAAATTTATAAACGGTGATATATCTGCGGTCGCCCTGTTACGTATACTCGAAAACGAGAAACTATTACAATTCTCACGACGTGAACTAAGAATACAAAAATTGGTACAAGTGAAGATATACTGACTGCAAACATGACAACTAAGTTAGGACAAATATACTCATTCATATACTGGTTATATATACATTTAGTGATGAGTTAATAAACATCATATAAGTGTAATGATACACAGGTTTACTGTAAATACAAATAAAGTTCACAGAGAATGCAATTGTTACACTAAGCACAGTTCACACTTGTCATACTAAACAAAAGGGAATAATTGGGAATTTTTAGTGAATTTCAGCTAACAGAATGATTTTGTTTAAATGGAAATTGACAAGAATATCTTTAACAGGATAATAATATGTATATCATACCCGTAGATCAAATCAGTGGTTATTTGGATTCAGTAGTTCAGTGGATATCATATTGGTCACAATTGATTGATCACTGGGTGGTGACTAATGTCATGTGTGTCAAGTCCTTATTAGTGCAGACCGAATGCTATCGATTATGATGCAATGTGGCCATCAGTCTAGGTGACTCGACACTGCGTGCACTATTGTGAGATTAGATGGTGATTGGACGTAGTCGACAGGAAACCCTGGACCCGGGTTTCGTGCTATTTGGCCCAGATAGCTCAGTGGTAACGTCTCTGACTGTGAAGCTGACTGACACGGGATCGAATCCGTCAGGGAGCACCAGTTCCCTCAAGATTACAGGTACACCTTGCTGACGAGTGTCAAGTAGCACGAAACTCGGGTCCGGTGTTTCCTGTTGACTACCTCCAACCACCATCTAATATCATATTGGTGTTTGAAGCGAAGAATACAGGATTCAAATCCAAAAAATGTACTATTTCAATTACAGTACAATGAAATGATGTATGGTAGATGGGTGTATAATGTAGAAATAGCATTGGATTGATTATGAGCAAATTAATATGTATATAAAAAAGTCAAAACATTTGTAAACAGTATGTATGTACAATAGGACTAACGTTTTTTTTTAAGGTCGTTGGAATAACACGAAAACAAAAGGTGATAACGCGTCCATAATTTAATGATCATAAATTATTGGGACAACAGGCTCGCGATATATGAAGAGTGTTTGGTTGAAGTTGTCAATGAAATATGAAATACGCTGATTGCTAAGTACGGGTTTGAGCAGTGAATATTGAATGAATATTGAGAACATAAGTTATTACTACTATTGTGGTGTGTGCTACTTATATTGACATAAGTAGCATATAATGTTAGTCGTGAACAGAAGGTCTGGCAGCGGAGAGATAAGAGGATCGAACAGTAAAAAATGGAAACAAAATGCAATTAGTACGAAAATGCAAGAACAATGAAGTCTGAGTCATTTTGAGGCAATTGACGGACGTTTTGCAAATTGCCCCCGAATGCCCTGGTACGGTCGAGAGTGGGTAGAGTCCTCTCTCACATGGCCACGCGTATATAGCATCTGTCAGGGAAGTCCTACTCATTGCCTTCTCGTGGCGGGGGTGTCGTTTACGAAAATGAGAGGACGGAAAGCGAATGTCCGGCGCTTTAACCGGATTCCAAACCAATGGTGTACATGGGCTCCGGTACCCTGAAGGAACAAATGGTGTATGAACCAATCGTTGGTCACCGGCTTCCATGGGACTGCATCTCCTTACGATGCTCCACTGCCTTGTGGATCAGACCTTCAGGTCGAAGGCTTGGGGAGTGGCTCCCTTAGAAAACCACCTGCTTCGGTTTGGGCACCCGGGTAGTATCACAGCCCTCATACATATCGAATGAGATTTGTGTGGCGCATATGTATTTGGTGCGTCGTTGTACCAATATCTATGTGTTAAAATAAATAAATAAACAATTTTGCAAATTAAGCATTTACTTTATGATTGTTAGATTTTATTATCAAGTCCTGTAATTCTGTATCAAATACATTCGATTGTTCGCACCCGTGTTCTTGTTCACTACACTACTACTCTAAACTCATGTCTAGAAAGTCGTTACTAACGCTTTCCAGTATAAAGGTGATTGCAGTAACGCATACGAATCATCGGTTGAGCCCACCAAGTATCCTGATACATTGACGATATATTCTGGGTGTATTAGTTAGAGCAGTTCCTAATACTTCCCCAGGTAGTCTATTTTTAGCTGGCCATTAAATATGACATTCTACTCTGGTCAAGTATTTTATGACTTTTCTATGTATTTTGTCATCGTTTACCTTTTTAATTGTATTTTACGTATGCTTACATTATGCGTATCTGTCATCCATACACTAATTGATTATCGGTGGTTTATACATTATTCATCTCATATAAAAGGACTGATTCACATCTTTTATCATCTGTGTGCATTAATGGATTCCTGATATTTATAAACAAAGTCACTTTCTCATTCAACTTTTAATATGCCGTCATTCAAAACATGTTAATTCAACAGAATATATACGTAGATAAGTAGGATATATGCGTCGTCTTTATCATTGTCGTTTGATCATACTGAAGTCAGTAATGAGCATTAGAAATTTCAGTTCAATTCATATGTTTCTTCCATACATTCCATCTATCTATCTATCTATCCATTCGTTGTTATCATGTTCTTCTATTTCCTTGTTGTTTTTTGGGTCTATTCAGGGCTGATGGAACCGAAGAGACTATACTTGATAGTGATAATAAACGTCATCGTGAAATTATTGTTAAAGCGATATCAGCTTTATTATTATTACTATTGAAACATTTTAAATTGAATCATATTTATCAAGTGAGTTAATTATTATTTTTAAACAGGTTTAATAACTAAATGCGAAGAAAAACATTTAAAGTTTTGGATTCGACTCCTCTCCACATGGGTTAGCCAATCACAGTTCACTATGATCGGGCCTACACACCATTTTATGATCTAAATTGTCATTAGATTAAACTGATGCTATTGTGTGTAAAACAGGTACAACTATTACATGTGATACAGAGTTTACGTTTATAAAACAGTTTATTTAATCCCCCACCACATACCATTATATACAGTGCTAACTGATATAGAGGAGTAACCAAGATTAAGATATGATATCAATTCATGAAATCATTGACTGATAGTTTAAGTGATGTTTGGAAGTACGAGACTTTCTGGTTTGAATCGGTTCGATACTCGTATTCAGTGGTTGAAAAAATCCACTGACATGGTGTAAAACTAGTGTCATTGTCTGGGTTGCATGCACTGCTTACGTTCTTCAAAATCCAGATTGATGTATTATTCCCAACTTTCAATTCTACATTCTCGTCTTGTTATATCGTGCTGTCGTTCGATTGTGATGTGATACATACTTCATATGCCCGAACCTTACATGGCATGTAAGTGATGAGACTAAGGATGATTGGAAGTCTCGACTGCCAAAGCAAATCAAAATGTACACAGTTTATTGCTATATAGATGTATATATGTTCCAGCTCTCGAATATACGAACCAAACCTTAACGAATTGCGTAGTGTCAATCAACAGCATGCCTCCTTTAACATGTTTCTTCCTATTTTAAAAGTATTTATAATACTCAAATTCTAACTGAAGTGTGATATTACTCCTTTTATAATTATTGGCAATGTGTAGCCTTCAATCCCCACCTAGCTTGATAAGTGATGTTAGCTGATGTACGAGTAAGCCAGAAGAAAACACTTACTTTCTATCTTGTTTTAGATCTTCAGTTTCGGTATTCTTTCATACGTACTTTTCATACTGTTGCCTCAAGTTATATTCCAATTGTTCCATCTTTATCACGAGTGCTACTATGACCATTTTGACTTATTTGCCGATTAGCTTATTTGTTTTCCATCTCTTTGTGCTTATGTAATATAGAAACTTGAGTTAACACAAATTTATGACAGACTCTATGTTGATTATTTATTTATGTAGTTAAACACATAATGATCGGTAAAGATAGACACTAAATATATATGCACCGTACATTCTAGTTATCATTCTATTCGTGTGTTTGAAACTAGGGTTTTCCAACTCCCCTAGGTGGATTTTCCGTACCTATCAACCCGATTTAAGCCTCGAACATTCGCTTTTCGTCTTCTCAATGTTGTAAACACCCTAGCCGTAATAATGCAGTGACTAGGACTTCCCTGTCCGTGGCTGTATACGTGTGGTCATGTGAGAACATCTCGAGGGAGAGCAGATGCTCCTCATCCTTAACCGTATCAGGGCATTTGAGGGTACAACGTTGATTATGACTGATTGATACAAGCGCTTTGATATTTGCAAGCAAAGTTAACTTGGTGACCAACAGTGGAATCCAGAACGCACGTTTCGTCCTATCTGAGACTCGTCAGCCATATTTATCTGCTTTGATATTCATTTGAATTCATATTAGTCTTCAGTTTCTATTTCAGTCAGTCAGCTACAACGTAGGACCAGGCACATATGTGCATCGGTCCAGGTTGCCATACCGCATCAGCACAACAAGATGAACACCGGATTCATAGCAGTGGTTAGGTCAAAGGTAGTAATATGTAGGAGAAAGATTGCATATAGAGATATAGTACAAGAAGAAAGAATTGGTTCGTAGAAAGAAAGATATGAAGTGATTTTAATCTCTTAGTTTAAGAGAAGACAGGGAGTGTATACACCGACGCCATTGTGATCGATTTTGAGCCATGTCACCAAGAGTCTCCAACCATTGGTTACGATAGTCACGCGGACCCCAACCAAGTAGTCTGCATCTACCAACATGGCTCAGACTAGAAGTTAGTGACTTCAAGCACTGATGCCACGTTTTGGTTTGGCCACCCCTAACTTTCTTCCAACCATTTCCAATACCGGATAGCATTGCACGTCGTGGTAATCGGTGTTCTGGCATACGTAACACGTGGCCCAACCATCTCAGTCGATGAAGATTCATAACCTCATCAACTGATTTACCATCATTCCCTAATACCCTGCGTCTAACCTCACTATTACTTACCCGGTGATCCCAGCAGACGCCAGCAATATTTCTAAGGCATCTGTGGTCAAATACTAATACCTTACTGCTGTCACACCTCTGTACAGTCAGCAGTACGACTTCGCCTTCGGACCTTGGGTTTGTTGCTTTTAGTCTTACCGCTCTTCAACCGACCTGTCTGACATGGTAGGACCTTGAGGAACGGTTGTGTTTCCTATAGTCGCCGCCTTTTCCATCTCTTTTGCTTTCTATTTCACTGGAATATTTCTTGCTACTTCAACTTAAGTATGTTGTAACCAATTAATTCTTATTTTTCTGGTATAGAATACATTGAATGCTTCATTGTATTTTAACATAATTATTAAATTTTATATTTCAGTTTGAATATGTCTCACAGTATTTAGTTTTTGCTAATTGTATACCATTGATTTTGAAATTTTTCAATCAAGAAATTACATTTTATATTACATCGAAAAATACGTAAGTTATTCTTGTTTATGCGTTAATGCATTTTGTAAAAATTCTGATAAAATTATTAGTAATAATAATAATAATAATACGAGATATTGTAGTTCACTTACCAGGTACAAGTTTTTATGTCAGGTGATTGGAAGTAATCTAGTGGAAACCTTGGTTAGCTTAGGTTTCGTGCCCGACAGTTGCTGCTACTTTGACATGGTGGTCGAGCTTGCCTATCGTCATGGACTGATTGGGCTATACTGGCTGGGACAATTGTTCATCAAGGCCCTACCATGCCTTCAGGCAGGCCGGTTGAAGGACGGTAAAACCAAAAGCAGTAAACCCAAGGTCCGAGGACAAAGTTGTACTGCTAAATGTACAGAAGTGTGACGACAGTAGTGTGTTTTTCTCAGATAACCAGGATAACAGAGATGCTGCCCTCTGACGAAGGAAGGGTGGTGTGTGAAAAGGTGGACCCTAACAATACACTCCTTGTCTTATCCCACGGATATCCGTCTCCAGTGGTACGGTTTCAACAAGTACGGAGCTAACACAAAAATTACAAAAACGTCGTATGTGACCGGCATCAAGCAGTTGTCTCTTGGGCACTGCGGTCACGCTCTCAGGTCACTACGATCAACTCTAACCCATTTTTTTCAGGTACCTCTAGAAGAGTTCTTCCACGGTGTTGGCAACCGGGAAGTGATAACCGTCCTCATACCTCTAACAGCACTCAAGACCACTGTATTCATGACTGACTGACTTAGGTTTCGTGTTAGTTGGCATTGGTCAATATTTTGTTATCAGCAATCTTGAGGCAATGGACACTCCTTGTGTGAATTGATCTTCTGTAGGTCCTGGATATTTCATATTAATTTATTAGTAAGTGGTTATCAATGTACAAGCTTTTATGCTTAACTGTAAGCTACACCATTCGTGTGTGAGAGTTAGCGATTCTGGTATTATTCGGTTGGCCAAACCAAATTAGATGATACGGAGTATGAATCTACGACTCACTAGTCTATGAGTTCCGATTGCTTTGATCATACTAGCTCATAGTTCGAATATGTGTCTTCAAAACACATTACCTGATGAAACTATGCTATGTTAGAATTTGCAAAGCCGTTTTAGTCAATCAGTATACTGCTTTTATATCATTTCATTATTACTGTGTGGTATCACAGTTACTAAGAATGCGATTCTCCTTGTCCAGTAATTCAATTTGGTTTGTCTAGCTTATTTTATCTTGATGATGTAGTGTGATGTGATCTGGTAACTTTGTTCAGTGAACATATTTCCCATGTTCTATAGTGTACAACTCATGGGTTAGTTTTTCTTTTCGTTTTCACACTTGTTTAAACATTGCAAAACATTAATTAAACAAACCTGATGATTTTAACAGCCAATTCCAATCAACTTTCGTGAAAAAATACAAAACCTGTTTCACATTATGACGCATGCACTTATAAATCTTGGATACTTTCAACAGATACTCAAGTTATAGTCTCAACAACAACTGCCCGTAAGTAGACAAACATTAATATACCGGGAGTACTGGAGATTATTCTAAAGGTTAAGTAATTATCGTGATGCCTGAAATGTCCAGATTCAATCTATATTCGAGTCATGGGTGCTTACTGTACCAAGCACTTTCATCCCAGTTGAAGACAGGCGTCGAGGGTTTCGTGGTATTCACTGATTGTTTAACTAAAGAGTTGGTTCATGAATTAAAACTTAAAAATCACAATTTTATCCATCTATGTACTTCTTATCGCTTTATTTTCGTGTCTCTCAGACTTTCTTGTTTAGAATTCCCAGCTCGTCTAATTGGGGAACAAGAAGCATTATCGATCGATATGGTTGTAAGTTGCTTGCTTTATTTTATGTGTAACCTATTCATAAAAATTTGTCCCCATAAAATTACGTTGATCCATTGCGTTTGTGATGTATATGAGCCGTGATAAAGATGTCAAGTGAACAGTAATGTCAACTCTACTCATTAACTCATGTAACATGGTAAATAGAATGATAAGATCTTATCAAGGATCCTTTTAATGTTTATCGAAAAAATAATCATATGGAGAATACTACTTTTAAGTAGTCGTATACAGTCAAAAAGAAACCGTCCTTGGCTTAGGTTTCGTGTTAATTTCGAAACGCTTCAACAAGACGTATATACAATCTTGACTGAAACCAGTGCTTCCATTATAATCCAGAATCATTTTATTCACTGTCATAGAGAGATGATAGTATTAAGCTATTAAAGTTGCAACCGGCTTTCCGTATGAATAAAATATCCCAACGGATGACAAGGGTTTGAATTTGATGGGGAGCATATTAGCCATCTGAAGATTACTGTCAAATATCAGCTAACATTAAAAATATTCTCACTGTTTGCTGCTGGCTACCTCCGACAGTTCAACATTAAAGCATAGTCCACACAATGTTTAATAACTCAGGTTTGTGTTTACATTACAACTTGATCAGTAGAATTTGACCAACACTAAGGAAAGTAAACACTCATGACGTCTTTTACTGCTCATTGATCCACAAATAGAATGCTCTTTATATGATTATAGCGTATAATATGAAACATGGATGATTAGTATATAAACTTAGTAACTTGATGAAAGTCGAGAAAAAACAGGATGTATATTTTTTGCTTGACACAATACAGTTTAGCCTTAAAAGGTAATAATTTGATTATTGATTATACTAATATTATAGTACTAATTTGGAATGATGTGATCTAAATAAAGTACACTTTAACAACAGTGTGTAGAGTAATGGCCTTAATGATCTAGATATTCGACTTTCAACTATTTGGTTGCCCCTTGAAACATTACTATCCTATTTTGATGATTTCATCTCGTTATGTTGATACGACTGACAAGTTTTGCTACCGATACACCTAAACTATCTTCCTAGATCCCTTCAAATACTTCTACACGTCAACTGGAACACTGTAGAGCAGATACGAATCGTAGTAAAACTTTTACTTTAAGGTTGGTTTATGTACGGATAATACAAGGGTATTGATCGAGTTACACACGACCATAGGCCTTTAAAAATCTGCGGAACCATACTAAATATAGTGGCAGTACAAGTATTTATCCAATCAAAGTCGTGGGACGTGATTCTGCATCTTTTAGATGTTTCTGCGAAGATCCTATTCAACGCTGATTGAATGAAACGTTTCTGGGTTTCCAGGAGCTTTGACAGGGGATATTTTCAGGACTCTTTCAACAATGATGTGGCACTATATGTGCACTGACACACATGTGCTAACACATCTTTAGGTTGTGTTCTTCGTTTATTATAATTCGATATTGATTATCATTCTCATTTCTCTTGTTTCTTACTTAAAAACTTAACAGTATTATTAGTAGTATCATCAAATTGTTTTTTTATGATAATTTTTTTCTTTGTTAGTTTGGTGATTGGGTTTCGTGTTGTTGGCGTAATATGTTTTCATGTATTAATCTATTAAGGATTTTGAATATGTTAACTAAATGGAAACATTCAAGAATTATGGTATGTTTCTTCATATAAATCTATTTATTTTATTTGAACACATAAATACTGGCACAAGGGGGTACCAGTTACATTGCGCCACACAAATCTCGTTTGATATGTGTGAGGGCTCTGATACTAACCGGGTGCACGAACCGAAACAGATGGTTTTCTTAGGGAGCCACATTCGGAGCCTTCGACCTAACGGTCTGACCCACAAGGCAGGGGAGCATCGTAAAGAGATGCAGTCCCATGGTAGCCGGTGACCGACGATTGGTTCATACGCCATTTGTTCCCTCAGGATCCTGGAGCCCATGTGCACCATTGGTTTGAAATCAGGGTTTTCCAACTCCCCTAGGTGGATTCTCCATGTCCACCAACCAGGTTAAAGCACCGGACATTCGCATTTCGTCCTCTCAATTTCGTAAACAACACCCCCTCCACGAGAAAGCAGTGAGTAGGACTTCCGTGGTTGTGACTCTTCTGTAGTTCACACATTTGCTCAGAGCTCCTTCGTTTGGTATCTTGATGGGGTTTCCTTCTCTCCAGTCTGTTGGCACTTGTTCTTCCTCCCGAATCTTTCAGTTAAGAAATTAAAATATCGTTCAAATGCTTTGAAATCCTCGGATTGTCGTGCAAATCTATTTCTGCACTTTTAAATTTTATGATAAGAATTTTTGTAGACGTAATTCGATAACTGGTCGTGGTTAAATTCTTTACGTTTACTAAATTTTGTTGAGTTTAATATTTGTTACCATGTGTTCCACCACTGTATGTTAAAATTATCTAACTTCTGCTTATAGTTTTGATCAATCAGTGATCTAACCTATCTACTTAGATAAATTTTAATGGCTAACTTCTTTTTAAGGCATGTGCTAATGATGTCTAGGAAGACGATGAAAGCTGCACAACTAAATTATTTATTTATTTATTTATTTGAACACATAAATATTGGTACAAGAGAGCGCCAATATATATGCGCCACACAAAACAATGGGAATTCGAAGAGAAGTAGAAAGAAAAAAAAAACTAAGGAACGCAAAAGAAAGAGAGAATAATGACGAAGAGGTACAATCAGAAGAAATCTTTCAGGTAAAGGAGACACAACCACTTTTTATGAAGAAAGTAAAAGAAGGTTACAGCAGGATCGCCACTGGCTTCTATTCTGAGCCATATCTGATAACGTCTCTAGCCACTGTGTAGCACCATCTCTCGGACCCCAGCCAGGGAGTCGTGAAGGACCAACACAAGCCAGTCCTTTGCAGCTTTCTTTCATGCCACGACACCATGTCATGCACTGACCACCTCTCCGCTTCTTCCAACCAGTCCCAGAGTCGGCAAATAATGCACGACGTGGAATTCTCTGGGACGACATTCGTAGAACATGTCCAAGCCACCGAAGTCGGTGTTTCAAGATGGTGACACCAATTGAGTTATCATCTCTGTGCCCGAACACACGATGCCGAACCTCTGCATTACTGACATGGTGTTGCCACTGAATGTCAGCAATCCTTCGGAGACAGCGATGATCGAACACAGAGAGTCGTCTAACGTCCTCAACTCGGAGAGGCCAGGTTTCACAAGGATAGAGCAAAACTGCTCTCACCGACGCGTTGTAGATCCGGCCTTTTACAGCCAGACTAACATCACGAAGGCGCCAAAGGTGGCCCAGATTGGCATAAGCCGCTCTGGCTTTCACTATTCGTGCATTGATCTCATCACTCACAACCCCACCAGCACTTATGCAGCTACCCAGATACACGAACGTCTCAACTACGTCTATCTGCTCACCGTCCAGGGTGAGTACAGGATTAGAATCCTGCCAGTCTTGTAGAAGTACTTTGCACTTCGAAGGTGCAAAGCACATACCATACCTACGGACATTGATTGCCAACTGATTAAGTGCGGATTGCATGCCTTGGGCATTATCGCACAGTAAGACAATATCGTCCGCATACTCAAGGTCGAGAAGTCTTTCTCCAGGCAACAGATCCACACCACCATTACTTACATTCATCAGAGCTGTTTCCAGAATGTCATCGATGGCAAAGTTGAAGAGGAATGGTGAGATTGGGCAACCCTGTCTAACTCCACTGCTCGAATGGAACAATGGAGAGAGGTGGTTGTATGCCCTCACTCTGCCTGAGGTGTTTTTATACAGGGCTTTTAGGATGTTAACAAACTTCTCAGGCACACCCTTCTTCAATAGACAATCCCAGAGAACAGTTCTGTCCAACGAATCGAAGGCAGCCCTGATGTCAAGAAACACTACGATTGTTGGCCTTTGAAAAGTATGGCGGTGTTCTAACATTTGGCGGAGGGTGAAGATATGATCAATACATCCTCGACCAGAACGAAACCCAGCCTGCTCCTCGCGAGTCAATCTTTCTCGGGTTTTGAACAACCTACGAAGAATGACGGAAGCCAATAGCTTGGACGCAGTCGGAAGTAAACTTATCCCCCGATAGTTGTTACAAGAACGACGTGAACCCTTTTTAAAGATAGGGACAACTATCGACTCATTCCATGACGTTGGTACACTCTCTACTTCCCAAACCTTTGTAAACAACGTCGTCAATTCCTTAGTCAAAAAGTCACCACCATCTTTAAAAAGAGCCGGAGGTAAGTCATCTGGGCCAGGTGATTTGTAACGCTTCAAGAGTTGGAGTTCCTTGCGGACTTCCTCCTCATTTGGTGGATCAGTCGTCACCGGCCATGGAGGGCAGGACAGTCTGACCGATGTTGCCGGAGCAGCAGGCCAGTTGAACTGCCCTTCGAAAAATTCTGCCCATCGTCCAAGACGTCGATGGATGTTAGTGATTGGCATCCCATCATCCTCGCAGATTGTTTCACTCACACCAGACTTCTTGCTGCCAGTGGCTCGGATGAGTTGGAAGAGCTTCCGGTAGTTACCAGATGCAGCTGCTGCTTCCAGCTCATTAGCACGCATCGACCACCAGGCTTCTCGGTCCTTACGCAAGCTTTGCCCGATTTCCTTACGTAAAATCCTTCGTTTATGGTCAAACTCACGGTTACCCGGAGTAGACCGACGGGCTTCAATGAGTTGTAAGGAACCAGAAGAAACCCAGTGCTTAAAAGCGGGACGTTTCGCAAACCCACAACTGACTGTTCCCGCCATTTTCATGGCGTCATGCAATTGCAACCAATGCTCATCTATACTTTTCGGTGGAGTGGTAGCTAGCCTAGAGGCTAGCTCGGTTCGATACTTACTTGCAACAGAAGTTGCAACCAGCTTGCTAACATCAATCCGTTGATGGCGATCACTTCGTTGTCCACTGAAAAGTAAGGCAAGATTGGCGCAGACCAAGGCATGGTCAGAGTCCAGATAGGTACTCCAAAAGGAGCGGCAGTCTTGTACACAACCACGCCAGCGGTAGCTGATCGCGATGTGATCAATCTGAGTCCAGGCTTGAGATGCAGAGGGAGGACGCCAGGTGGCACATCGGCGATGACTGTGCCGAAAGTTAGTGCTAGCCAGAAACAGGTTGTGGTCTGTGCAAAGTTGCAGTAGACGGTCCCCGTTATCTGACCTGCGACCAACGAGTCCCCATCGGCCACCTAAACGACTCTCTTCTGTGCCTAGACGCCCGACCTGAGCATTCAAGTCTCCGGCTAGTACTACAATATCTGTCGAACGCACTTTCTGGAGAAGAACTGATAACTGGTGGTAAAACTCATCCTTGATTGCATCCGGGCTGCAATCTGTCGGGGCATAGGCGGAGATGACGAAAAGACATCGTTTCTCACGCCGATTTCTTCTCACTTTGATGGAACTTTCTAATCTAACAGCACATAACCGACTGTTAATGGGGATCCAATCGACTAGTGCTGCCTCAGCTCTAGCGCTTAGTGCGACACCAACGCCAGCAAGACCAGACGAAGATGCCACAGGGTCCCCGGATAAGCGCACGTAAAACAAGCTTTTCGAAGCGACAGATGGAGATCGAATTTGTAGCACTTCGCCAGAGTCTTGAATACGGGTCTCGGATAGACAACACACGTCGATATTAAGACTTTCCAAAGACATAGCCAGCCCTATCTGTTGTCCGACCTGCATAAATGTGCGAACGTTGAAGGCAGCCAGTTTGAATGATGCACGTGGTTTCAGAAAATCTGCTTCAGTCCTCGTATTCGGTGGTAACATACAATTTTCAGTCGGACAGTGACTCGAGAACGTTTAGATACAGTCGGAATTCCACCAAAGACGAGCCGCTGTATAAGTATAAAAGAAGGTGAATAATGTGGAAAATAATAATAATAATGATAATAATAACAATAATGACAATAATAGTAGTAATAATAATACTAGTATTAATAATGACAATAATTGTAGTGATCATAATTTGAATCAATTGATTGTTTTTCAAAGCGACAAAAGTAGGTTCCATAGACATAAACAGTTCATCATTTGTGTGTGGGCTGTGATACTGCCCGGGTGCCCAAACCGAAGCAGGTGGTTATCTTAGGGGGCCACTCCCCGAGCCTTTGACCTAAAGGTCTAACCCACAAGGCAGTGGAGCATCGTAAGGAGATGCAGTCCCATGGTAGCCGGTGACCAACGATTGGTTCATACGCCATTCGTTCCCGCAGGATACTGGAGCCCATGTGCACCATTGATTTGGAATCCGGTTAAAGCGCCGGACATTCGCTTTCCGTCCTCTCATTTTCGTAAACAACACCCCCGCCACGAGAAGGCAATGAGTAGGACTTCCCTGGCAGAGGCTGTATACGCGTGGCCGTGTGAGAGTATTTCGAGAGGGAGAGTGGACTCTCCCCACTCTCGGCCGTACCAGGGCATTCAGGGGGCGCACAACTAAAGCACATAACTTACAAAATAAAACTCCACTAATAGTACTCATTAGCTCTGAAGCCTAAGGCATTGTTTAAGGTGTGTACTGACAAATCATTTCATACGTCGAAAACCTGCTTCGACTAACTTAGTTTGTACAGTCGCATAGTAGCTTTGAAAATATACGAATATGGGTAAATTGCAAGATATTTTTGTATAGTACGAACCAACTAACGTAATTTACAAATAACTTTCACTAATCTCATTGAAACAAAACGTGTTTTTTTTTAAAAAATATAAATTTACGCTAATCTATATTGATGCGTTCGGTAAACCATAAGTAGGTTAGATCTGTTGGTCAGAATTAAGGTCTTTAATCCCATTTAGAAAATATGGATCAGATTGTCCACGGATATGATTATTTGAATTAACACAATGAAAAGAACAGATTACACTGAATAGCATAAATTGACAAATACCACTAGTTTGCACCTCATTAAGTCACAGGAATACCAACTTTATTTGTGGAGAATCACTAATAAAAATAACACTTGTTCTCCCCATTCATTTGTCCAGTAGGATTACTTGAACCATAGCCTGAGATAAACCTTTTCCCAATTGGCTAAAAATCTAAAATATTGATATATATATAATCCCGATTTAAACATTAAAAACACGAAGTTCAACGAATTTATTATCAAGCTGTACCTTTATATGAATCTAGAATTCAAAGTTGACCGGACATCTGATACAACAAAAAATCAATTAGCGCCAGCCGTAAGAATGTTCTATGCAGCAAAACTGTGAATAACGTTCAGTAGTAAGAACTTGGTTTCTGTATCCGTAAAGGATAAGTTTCCCCAGTCTGGTCGACTCCATATTATATTTACCAGTTCACCTGCTCTTGTAGAGCTAGGTAAATAGGCTATAGCTAGCGCTCGGATATGAGGACGTGCTCCAATGTGGTCGCACAAGGGTGAGAGGAAAGCAGCTAGAAGTTCCATTCTTGAACATTTAATCGACTCTAATCATTCTACTGATTCACAAGTTGATTTTAAATTAAGATAAATCTTTTCTTAATTGGCTAACAATTCAAAATATGATTCCGTATTTTTCTATAGCTTCTCGTAGTCTTTAAATCTGCGCCTATTCTAAAACGTGCACTACGTGTTAGACATGCAATGCTTCAATTGTATGTATTAAAATTATTAAAATTACAAAGTCGTTATTTTGGTCGTCAATGGCGTAAAAATAATATGTCAATTATGTCAGCTATTTATCAAAAAGTTAGACATCGATTAACAGATGACTGGGCTTATGGGAATGGTAAGTTATTTACAGTGTTTGTTTTTTATTTATATAACAATGTAAACTATGGACTACCTATAAAAAATATATCGTTTACCTACAAAGTTATTTACAATCCGAATGACTACCTGTAAAGTTTCATGTGATGTAGCATTGTGTTACAATTCTAACATTGAAGTAGTAATTTACCGTTAAGTACCAACCAGTAAAGTAAAGTTTAAGTCTACAATATCTTGTAGACTTCCTCTAACCTCATATTGGTACATCCACGTACATTCTATGAAACATCAGGTGATATTAAATTATATTGAAAATTGAGCAACCATTCGTCCGTAGTATAACGAAACAGTAATGTATAAACAATCAACTGTAATGAATTTTGTCAACAACGATAATCAGTCAGTTTATATTCATCATAGATCTGGGCATAAAATTTGCTTCAGTCTAAAGTTGTCATTATGACATAAGCATGATGAAATGAATTGATCAAGATGAATACTAAAGAACTCAAAATAATAGTAGTAGTGGAAACAGTAATTAAGGTTAAACAAGAAAATGGAATGTTAAGGTGTATATAGCTGAATGCTAGAAACTAAGTAAAAGATCAATATGAATAGATTTGACTAATATCAACCAACGATGTAATGTATATGCAGTTCACATCTCATGTATATCGACAATTCTACATCCTTCTAGAAATCTACTTCAAACGTATATTTGTGTAGCCAAAACAAAATAAACATTTCGTTATAGGTGGTAGTTGGGCGAATGAGAACACAGGCGGGGACAACTAAATGTGTTTGAACACAAAATTACAGAATGTCTTAGTAAGATCTGAGGTCCATACAGTAAATTCTTCATTTGCAAAATGTCAATCAATTATCCCAGACTGAATTATACAGTCTGTAGTGTCGGTTACTATGTTAAACCCATGTACCTTATTCTAGTTTTCGGACAACCCATTCTATTCATTCTACTTGAGTCACATTCTGACCTTGTTATTTATTCGCTTATCAATCTTTACTGTTTTTAACGGGCGCGTAGGTGTGTGTACACTTCTCATCACATGTCTGTAAGTTACTTTTGTGTAACTATAACTATTGATTAACGCTTGGTTAAATGGGAATTGGCTTACCAGCCATCTCCACTCTGCGTCGTTTCTCTTCTCTCTATTCCATTCACTTTATATACAAAATATATGTATTCACAAGTCCATTCTCGTTATTCGACTTATTTAATTCTGTTATTGACTAACGCGATTAAAGTCGACGATTATATACGAGGATAGGCGACATACGTATTTCAACAACATCGTCCGATCTAAATGACGACAAAATTCAAGGGCCACACAATACCTTCGTCCCCACACTAATCACTCTCTGTCCTCGTTCTCTTCGATCTTCTTAACCTTCTGCCACCATGCACTTGACTTCCGATTGATGATACATACTACTTATATCTATCAACATCAGTAACACACACCACAATCGGTTTTAGTCATGAGTTTAACACACACATCTAAACTTGTTGAATACATAACATTTTTTTTACTAAAAACATATGTAACCTTCTTGTAATGAATAATTATTCTTTATTGTTATGTTTCTATCTTTACTTTTAATAAAATTATACTTTACATTCAATAAATATTTCTAGATGTTGATGCATTACCATGGCAATTTCAAGTTGAAGAATGTTCATTACGTACTAATGTAGATCAATTTAATCAACGTCGTTATTCGGATAATTGGTTTGATCCAGAATATAAACCAGTTGATAATTGTCTAATGAGTGTACTTAGTCAATCAATAGAATTATCTAATGAATTTAAAGAAAATTATGAAAAATGGCTTGAAGAAGAAGTGTTCTCAGTACCAATTAATTGGTCACATGTATTAGCTCATTAAAAAAAACCAACTGTGTATCTTCCTTCTTTTTTTTCTTGCAAAAAAAAGGAAATCATAATACCGGTTTGTGTTTTCACTTCAAATGAAGGGTATCATTAATAGTACTAAGTAAACAAATATTCAGTGCAATGTAAGACCTGTTTTGTTTTATATCTAAATATATAGCTTATGAAAAAACGTCTTATGATTCTTTCGTTTGCTAGGAACCCTTCTAAAGCTACTGTTGGTCACAAATCCGAATAAAGTGTTGGGCAGGTATTTAGCAGCCTTATTGATCATCTGCACAATATGGGAGAACGGAAAAACTATTCAAGTAGCTGCAGGAATGAAAAGGTACAACCTGGCGGTGCTTAAAATCAGGCAGGCTGGATAGGGAAGACTATTTTCGAGCGAGGTACTATTGTACGTTGGTCATGAAGAGAAAACTCCCACTTCGATTATGTATAAATCGGACAGCTTATAAGAAATGACCAAATTCACTATTTTAGTCGGACATTCAGGCAGTATCCCAGCGCACAAACAAATCGAATGATGAAGTGTGGCGCATATATATTTGGTGCCTCCTAGTACCAATATTTGTGTTTAGATAAATAAATGTCTCAGTCAAGCTGTACAACTTACGTTAGTCCAAATTTCACACCTTATTTCAGCATGACGACAATCAAGATAGAAATAACAACTCCAATAAATGGTAGAACATGAAAAATACTATTTAGCGGACAAAAGTAAGGGAAAGGAATGATATTCGTTTGAAGTTTTAGAGACTGTTTGGTGCAGCTGTGTGCGATCACGTTCTCAGTATCATCCATCAATTCTATCCATAGATTTTAAAACATGAAGTTTGTCTGTTATGTAACCGCTCTCACCACAGTTTCCTATGTCAAGACAAGGGTTGTGTTATAACTGTGGTCCTCCATGTTAATTCAACGTCTAATATGAATTTGTGAAACTCCTATGATCATTAGCGATAACCATTTGGAATCTATATGATAAACGAATTGTCGTACAGTTGTTTCAACCAGACTTTTATAGTCTGTGTTAATTCAACAATATCTTTATTACATATTGATATGGGATGCAGGTACATCCAGCTGACGAGTCTCAAATAGGATGAAACGCGCGTCCTGGATTTCACTGCTAGCCACTATCCATCTTTGCTTATAAGACCTTGTGAATTAAGGCGATATCGAGGCATACGCACATATGCCAATAACAGACTTATCAATCGCAGTCTTAAACCTCAATGGGAAGATACAAGCAAAACAATACCAAGTGAATTCAATATGAATTGTTTAAACAATTTCATCTGATTCTGACATATTTTTCTAGTTTAGTGACTTATTAAACTATTTATTTTTCATAAATAGTAATTTGAGAACATGAAATGCAAGAACAGTTTAAATATCTAAATAATGTGTAAATTACAAGGTTGAAAGAGTTTATTTGACAATATGACTTGATACAGTAGATATCAGACTTGATACCAGTCTGGACATTTGTTCAATACACTACATAGATTACATGATGCAGAAACACTAACGCTTGTGAACTCCTTTACACTGTACAAACATTCATTGACGTAATTCACGTGCAGTTACACATTATTATAACCCAGAGTTGCCGCTTATAGAAACGTGAATGAACATATTATTATTTAGCTTTGCCCGTTGGCTAACATTTCACCAACTTACAAATGTTTCGATTAACTTTTTCTTATCATCATTAGTTATTTAGGTAAAGCTAGTTTGTAATTTAAAATTACGTTTGACTTTTCAGCGACCGAATTGACAATTCGAACCCTGTTAAACCTATTCCAGTTTGGGCAAATGGATAATATCACAAACCTTCAAATGCTTAGACTGTACCTGTTAACGATTTCAATAGATAAATAAGTCATTTAATTTCTTTTAGTAAAGTAATAAGCTTTTCATTTAAAAAAAAGTACAGGCAACAAGATGAGAGAAATCGTTTAAGAAAATAATCATAAAATGTATCAACTGCTTTGTACTAAGTAAGAAAAAAAAACCCAACCCAAATGGATTGAATAAATATGATGAACATATATATATACAAAGAGAGTTTCATGTAAACAGCCCTTACATATTAAGCCATATTACATAACTAGATATATATTAATGTATAGGAAAATTACATTCAAATTACAAAAATTAAAAAAAACAACAATAGACATTGAAAGATCAAACAGAAGATGATAGAAATAATTGAAGTTTTGATATAATACTGTACAAATTTCCACAGGTTGGTTTACAAGTTTCAAAATATTCTTCTAGTTTTTCAGTTCTATGTAGATATACAGTGTAAAAAAATCAACAAAAAAAATCAATAACAGTGGTAATAATAGTAATAATACTGTTTGTAATATTACACATAACCAATCCCCATGACTACTCTCATATTCTTGTAGAATGTTGGTCTTATTCGACAAAAATGAAAACAATAGCCTACTGATTAAATTTATTGGATTTAGATTTATATTACAGTTAAAAATTGGCTATGCTTAGAATTCAGAATGTACACGTTCCATCCTAGTTGAGACTCATCACAGCTGTTTAATTCCCGGTATTGGTGTTCAAACTTGGATTTCAATCTAGTACCTTTTCATTTAAACTCTAATACGTAATCCACTAAAGCAATTGAGTCCATATACTTACTATCTTATCTATCAGGTATCGAGGTTTATTTTTAAGAGTTTGTATTTCCTTGCTAAACTTATTGAATAACACGTAGATGTTCAGAACAAGAAGTAATGGATGAGAGTGGGTGTAAATATCATGAATATAAGGCAACATCTAACTAACAAGAACAAAAAGCTCGTTCAAGATTCCACTGGTAGCTAATAAAGAACTTTAATAAAAACTTGTTACGAAATGGGAATATTGAGGTTATCTCATGATGTATGTATAGAAATAGAGATTTGTCAATTGCAATCCTGAATATCACAATAATTAGGAAATACGAACCTTTATAAATATTGGGATAAGAGGTTCCCAAATCATACCACATGTGTGATTTTGGATAGTTGTTGTGCAATATCATTAGTCCTAACAGTCGATAGCACAAGCACGTAATTGATAAATGTAAATTACAATATTATTACACAAATCGAATTACATCGACAGTAATCTGTCGTAGTGTTCTATTGCTAGTGTATGGATCTAACGTGACTAGATAGGTTCAACTACTAATAAACAACCGCATATCAACGATGACACAGTTGCACACAAGAAAGGAGAGGTAAGACTACACTTTTCAAGAGAAAATTCTAATCAGACTAAAAGGAGTAATCATTAAGGAAAGAGGTCAATTACACATGGGTCCTATATGATTGATATTAAAATCTATTTGTTGCTTAATGGTAGCAGTTCAAAGCAAGAAATAGGTAAATAATGTATGTATTTGTGCTATCGCAACCGGTGTCATGTCACTTCAACTAATGATCATAATCACTGTGCAGAATATGCATTTACCAAGACAATTCAGCCCACACATCTCACTCGATTAGTTAAATAGCTTCATCGGTGGGAGTATAATTTATGGACCACCTTTGAGCGACGCTAAAGTGACCTTGAAAACTTCCATCCAATAACTAGGATTAAATGAGTCTTATAAACCAATGTGAGGAATTAGAACCATGATTTACAGTTGATGTTTAGGGTTAAGAATTTAATTTATGGTTTTCATCACGAATTGATATCAATTATGATGCCAAAACTCTACTTAGCCAAATGTATGAATGAATTACGCGCCAAAACTCAAGACTGGTTATCTTACATCTGATTGATTCGTCCATAAATTATAATCTCGCCGTTTCATCAATTAATTTGTTATTCTAGAATCTTGTCATAACACTATTCATTTACTTCGTTTACAAAACACAAGTAATTCAATAAATCAACAATAGTAATATATAGTGTGCTAATGTGGTGTGCCAACTCGAACTGATGTACGTACGTACGAAGTTCTACGTTGTTACTGACTGACTGACTGACTGATTCAAAGAGGTTCTTTTCTAATATTAGGTGGTAAAAAAAATCATACTTATAACTCATATGACAATTAGGCATAAAAATACTCTAGTAGATTTAAGCAAAAAGTGATACCTAAATAAAACACACATATCTACCTTAGGTTTCCTCTTAAAACTTCAAATTCAACAGAACCTTGACTAGAATCCATGTAATCCAATGACATTAAAGTGAATCGTACCATTATACGATAGTTACGTGTAGAAAACTTTACAGTTATGCTAGTAAAAGAAATGAAACCAGGAGAAAAAGCATGAGGATGGGAGAAAGTTATGTCCAGGGGGTTATCATAACAGAACTATATATACATGTACAATATAGAAAAAGTAATCTGTCTAGCTAGTAAATAGATGTTTGCAAGATAACCATTCTTATTCATCAGGATATGAATGAACTGGATAATAATCTCGAAATTCATAGCCATCAAATTGAGTTGCTTCAAACAATATACAATAACCTGTTAGATAGTCGGCAGTCCAACACAACGTCAATTAAAACATTGTGCAAGCGATATTGAATCACTTAGTCGAGTGTTTATAAACTGCAACTTCATTAACATAATTCGATTTACATTAAGCAATAGAAAGATATGATAAAGACCACTATTGTTTATTTGAACATATAAATATTTGTACAAAGGGGAACCAAATAGATATGCGCCGCACAATGAACTTGATTTTTGTATGGGCTGTGATACTCTACCCAGGTGCACAGACCGAAGCGGGTAGTTTACTTAGGGGACCACAAACGGAGCCTGTGACCTAAACGTCTGACCCACAAGGCAGTGGAGCAACATTAAGATACAATCCTATGGTAGCCGGTGACCAACGATTGGTTCATATGCCATTTGTTCCCTTAGGATAGTGGAGCTCATGTGCACCATTGGTTTGGAATGAGGGTTTTCCAATTCCCCTAGGTGGACTCTCCATATCTATCAACCCGGTTAAAGCGCCGGACATCCGCATTTCGTCCTCTCAACTTCGTAAAAAAAAATCGCACTCCGCCGCGAGAAGGCAGTGAGTAGAACTTCCCTGGCAGTGGTTATATGCACGTGGTCATGTGAGAGCATTTCGAGGGGGGAGAGATGACTCTTCCTACCCAAGGCCGTAACTACGGCATTTGGGG